TCTATTTATTCTTTTTCAATCCTGTTTGTATGTGTTTTAATTGTCTTTTATTTCTATTCGCAATGCCTTTTTATGTCTCATTGCATCACTTTGTTAAAGGTATTATTTAATGATCATGTTTTGCCAATATTATCGACCCTTTGTTGGGGATGTTAGAGTTAAGCACACAACTTTCCAAACAAATTTCAGGATTGAAAATAAATCTGTGTCGAAAAAAAAAGAAATTACCTTTTTCTTTCGTTTTTTTGTCAAAAAAGCTGGACTTTGACAGGCTTTTGCGGAGTAAATACGATTGATAAAAGGTCACTAACGAGAGTTTAACATGCTTTTCGTGGGAAACGCGTTAAAACTTTTTAGTGATGTGAAGGCTGTGCCCTTCAGCACCATGGACAGTTTCTCCTGACAAATGCGCAGCTTCAGCCGGATTTCTGAATAATTCAAAGCCATTTTGAGCACCAATTCTGAGTTTTAATCGGTTTGAAGAACATAATAGAAGTGTTTGTCAAGTTGCTCCTATCTTGTGAAATAAAAGGCCTGGTTTAAAAATAACTTAACCACTTACCGCCACCGTTTTGATAACATACATACGGAAATCTCCAAACATTTCCCAGGTCCACCGCAAAGCCAATGACAGACAGGAGAAAGTCCATTTTTTTGCTCCATTTGTCCCTGGAGTCCGTCTGTGTGATGGCCGGCACCGGGACAGGGGCCGCGGCGTTGTTGGAGGTGTAGCCGGGGTTAGGGGAGCCTGGGTGGGTCAGAGTGCCGGCCATGGCTGCTGGGTCCTGCTGAGGCATCGGACTGTGAAAAAGTCAGTCAGAGGAGCAGCTCCGCAGAGAGGATGTTTCTCGGTGGTGGTGACAGGCAGCAGTGGGAGGAGCTGAGCGGACACTTGGGGATACCTGTTGGTGGAGAAAGATCACAGAGAGCGTGCATGGTGGAAAGTAACGAAGTACATTTACTATGGTACCGTACTTAAGTAAAATGCTGAGGTACTTTTACTTTACTTTCCTGCTACTTCTACCCCTCTACAATTCAGAGGTCAATCTTGTGCTTTTAATAATGTAAAATATTATCAATAACTTCACAATTACTAGCAGCATCTTTACCGTGATAATACTTTAATGCATCAATAATACAATCAAAACACATGATATATATAATTCCGAAATCTGCACAATGTAATCTGATAACGTTTCGCAACTTTTGGATTACCTCAATATCAAATGCATATTGATATGCAACTTTTTGTTTTTTTTCTCCACTTAATTCATTAATATATTGCTTGTGCTTTGGGCATTACACTACATGTCACTTGTTAGACACTTTTATCCAAAGTGACTTACATACATTCAATACTGTGGGCAATCCCCACAGGAGCAATTCGGGGGAAGTGTCTTCCAGGGACACAACGACATGCAGACTGCAATGGGACTCAAACTTGATCCCAATGAGCCACAGCCTCCCAAATTCCCAATTAATTCCAATTTAACAGCAAAATGTTGTCAAGCAAAGTAATGCTCATGTCGATGGCTAACAGTGTTATCATCCTTTAATGATAATTAACATGGTCGCCTTTTGCTCAAGTCAACTTTATTGTTACAAGTCACATTTGCACAATCCCAGCATGCACCATTTCCATGTGGTTTAAGGTCCTTTTCCATGTTAAATCTGATATTTTGAGTCAATTTAGGTTCTGAAATTCCAACAATATATGAAAAACATTTATCAACGCTCTAAATGTTCAGCTTGAATTTCACAGAAGAATTATTAGTTGTATGATAAAGCTCCTTTATGTTCTATTCAAGCAACAGGTTGCCCGGCAAAGTACTGATGTTACAGTAGTTATTAAGATTGATGTATGTTGCAATATATAGATCTCTATATTCACACAATCAAAGTAGTCCTAGTTTTAAAGTTTAACACAGAGAGCTACAAAAAGTACCTTAAGCCATCTTAGCTGGATCATCAGTTCAGTAATATAGTTTGTTGAAGACAGCTGAAGATAATCATTGCAGCTTAACTTCACTCCTTTGAAATATAATAACCTAATAAAAGTACTTTTAATCAAATCTACCACTTTTAGCACCGAGCACTTTGAAAAGGCTGCTAAAAGGACATTCAGGGAGCAGCAGTCACACAACAGAGAGTACATTAAATTAAGTCACTTTTGGCAAATAGATATGACACAGACACGGGACAAGAGACATCCAAAGGCATCATACAATTGTCATTTACAGCCAAACTGTCTGGCCTGGTGTTTAAAAACAATGCATTCAGTAATTTCTTGCAAAAAATATGCGTCAAAAAGCGCAGATAGATAGATAGATAGATGGATAGATAGATAGATAGATAGATAGATGGATAGATAGATAGATAGATAGATAGATAGATAGATAGATAGATGAGATAGATAGATAGATAGATGGATAGATAGATAGATGGATAGATAGATAGATAGATAGATAGATAGATAGATAGATAGATAGATAGATAGATAGATAGACTTTTTTTCCACAGCTCAGATTCCTCCAGATTCAAATTGTATTTTCGCTGCCAAAGCTAAGACGGGAGGAATAAACAATCAGCTGAGGGGGAAATGCTGTGGTTGCTCAGCCGAGGTGTGGTGGCCCCTGAGGGTCAAAGCGTAACAACAAACCATATAGCACTGGCCTTCTCCAACATACAAATCCTGTCAATGTGCATTGGCACACATGGGCAGAAGAACATCAGACTGACAGGAGCCTCTATCGCACGTCGAGTCTAATCACACATGTGCATGTTGGCCCTCTCTGCTGACGGACAAACAGACATGGACATGACACAGCACTGTTGTTTCAGAAAATGCAGGATTTTATTTTGTGTTTCTCTGTTTTCTGCTGTCCAGATAGTAAATCATCCTCATCTCCAGTGTTCCCTGAGTACATAAAGTGAACTTTCCTCTTCGCTGGACTTTCTGATCGTCTGAAACAACATAAGTTCTCAGAGTCATGTCTATGATTCTACAAATTACCTGTTTGGCTTAAATAAATGTGCCTGTTTTCAATTACTCTGTATTTACCAATGTGAGAATGTAAAGGCTAACTGTGTAGACAGCTCTGGTGTGCTGCTTACTCGAGCAGAAGTCCTGGTGTGGCATTTAACAAGACATGCTATTACCTCACATTATCTAAAGCTGCTGCCAGTGAGTCATGTCAGCGAGGGGAATCCTGGTTTATAGAGGGGGCTTGTGAGAGAAATAGAGAACCAGTCCTCACATGAAGCAGGAATAAAGCCCCTGTCTCTCAGCCAAGGACACATAAACTGCTGCTATGTATTTTTAAATGGTTACGTATCCCCAAATAACACATGATGGAACGAATATTCAAGTTGTTGTATTATTCAGGCTGGTATTCACATTGAAAAACTGTAAAACTGCAGGTCCGAACAGGTGATCAGGTGTCAGGATTTAAGATTATACAAGGAATCACATTTTGACATGTTTATCCACAGAAGGAACATGTGGATCTGTCATCCTGTGTTATGCCTCAATGTTTTCACCACCTGATCTGCATGACAGCTCAGTCCTGCAGGCAGAACTGAGACTCCACACTTCGCTGCACTAAATGCTACACCCACTCCTCACTGTGACACAGACGGTGGTTTTCCTGAACAAGATCTCACTCACACCAAAAACACTGAAGTGTGAAATGTGTTGCTATAATTGAAGACAGCATTTTCATTAAGATTCAAGCTGTGAATTGTATGTTTTATTTAATTATTTGTTCTTTCTTGGGGGTCGTACGAAAGAGACAATAAGTGATGCAGCTTTTCTGAACCATTATTTATGAATAAATAAAACATTTATTTGTAGAATTATTTTTGCACAATTACACCCTTTTCTCTAACAAAAGTGTTTAAGTAAACGTAACCAAAAGTCTACCAACATCAATATTTTTCAATTTGTATGTAGAATTGTGTCTGAATTCAAACTTATATTTACATAGTTTTGTTTATCCTCACTATTGTTGTTTACCCAGAGATTTGTCCTGATATGCTCCACCTTTTGAACTCCAGGCATGTATCCTGAGTGTATCGAGCAACAGGTGGAGAATAGTCTTAAAATGCTGTATATCCACATTTCTGATCATAAATTCTGAATTACAATTTCAGTGATGCATACCAAGCCCAAACATTGCTGAATGGCAAATCTGTAACAATCAGATGTGATTTGAGATAAATCACTGGTAAATCACAGGATTTAGTTTCCCAGCTGTTCCTTATGTTGCCACAAGATGGCGTGAAGACGAAATGTTTCCATGTTGGGAACATTACAAGCACACAACTTCCATCCATCATGTATTATGCTTTCTTTCAGTTTGGGGTTATGCATCTATATCTATTTGCATGGCATCTATTCGACAGAAAACATTACCGTAATGAGATCACTGCATTATGTCTCATTCAGTGATGTTGACATTTGTATTTGAAATAAGCGGGCAACTACTCTGTAGGTGGGAGAGGTACAGTTATTTACTTAAGTAAAAGTTGAAGTACCAGAGTGTAGTAATACTCTGTTACAAGTAAAATACCTGCATTCAAAATGTTACTCAAGTAAAAGTGCAAAAGTATTAGCATCTAAATATACTTAAAGAACCAAAAGTAAAAGTATTGTTATGCTAATACTTTTGTACTTTCACTTGAGTAACATTTTGAATGTTACTTGTAACAGAGTATATCTACACTCTGGTCGTTGTACTTTTACTCAAGTACAAGATCTGAGTACTCCTCCCAATTATATTCATCTATTTACATTGCATCTCATTCAGTGATATTAACCTTTTTATTTCAAATAAACGGATATCTATTCTGTAGGCAACTATATATCTAATGGAGATTATATTCAGAATGTAATGCTAGAAATCTGTAAGTATCAGTGTTTTCTTTGACACTCGGGCCACCCTATGGCTGCCCTGTGTGTGTCTTTAAGGGGCGGGGCTTGTTCCTCGGTGTGAGGCAGCTCTCAGCGGATGGGAGTAGTGCCGCTCGCAGACAGGAGACAGGATCCATGGCAACAATCATGGCAGGTGGGAGCAACAAAAAACAAGAGGATAACTATATTTCTAAATTCAAATTGTGTTTTTAGACAGATTGTGATAATGTCCCGTGTGTGTGCTGTGTTTCAGAAGCAGAGACTCGCCAGAGGCTGCTGCGCACCGTCAAGAAGGAGGTGGGTGTTTTCAGCTCTGCATTTATCGCCTCGGAAAAACAAACACGTTGGTTTTTATGAATATGTTTAGCCCAGTTTCCCCCTTTGCTTAGATAGGTGAAACATAGCAAACATGTGTTGACACTTGCACTGAACGCCCCATCTTTTCCTGATGACACCTGAGATACATTGGTTTTGATGCTCTAAAAACGAAATGTCTTTTTTTTTAAAAAGACTAAACAAGCCAAAATATTATGTATATTATCACCATTACGGGTTTGAAGTGTTGCTTTTTTCTTTAACAATGTTTTAATACAATTAAGAGCTTTCTTTTTTGAGTGTTCGTGCTGCAGCTCAGTAATTATTCGCATGGAGAAACAGATTGTGTGTGTTCAGTGTTTGTGGTGTTTATGGCAGATAAACCATCAGCCTTCTGCCCAGCCATTTGGTAAGAGTCGGTGTGTGTGTGTGTGTGTGTGTGTGTGTGTGTGTGTGTGTGTGTGTGTGTGTGTGTGTGTGTGTGTGTGTGTGTGTGTGTGTGTGTGTGTGTGTGTGTGTTTATGTAATTCATGTAATGCGTTACATGATGTTGAGTGGAAACAAACATGGAAGCAGCTCTAGAGGTTTGTTCAGCTGGTTTTCAGTTTCCTCATGTCACTCATCATCATTTGAGGTAACTGCAGAAAAAACAGAAGACCAGGGTTCAGCAGAGATCAAATGAGATGTCGCTACCATTTAGTCTGTCTGACATTCAGACGTGGAATAAGGTTTTACTCTGAGATATACATCCTGGTGTGAACAATCTTTCTCAGAACGCTTACAGGAGTCTTTAAATATAGATGAGAGGACGGAGGACATGGTGTTAATGAATGCTTGCATAAAGATCTGTTTAGATATGTCACATGAACCCTGTCACATGGAAAATATATAGTACTGAAAGCTCAAGTTACATTATCCTCCATTTTGGGGAGATCTCTAATGTCTGTCATTGATTTTTCTTTACAATACTGCTTTAGAGTAATACTGTGTATGCACAGTCCATGCCCAACACAAGAGTTACTGTTGGTAAGAACATTTTACTGCAATGTGATTAACATTCAAACATATTAACTTTATTGGATATAGATTACATTAAAGGCAATTACATTTTGTGTGTGTGTGTGTGTGTGTGTGTGTGTGTGTGTGTGTGTGTGTTTCCACTCTCCTATAGTGGTGTTTACATTGTGGTCTTTACTGTTGAGTTTTTTATTTGCCTCTGTTCAGGGAAGGTTTCCTTAAAATCATGAACACCTGATATTTACACATGTATAGTCAAACTCCTGAAGCTTTACAACATCACCAACCTAAAACTGTTATATCGTTTATTTTGGTATAAGATATTGAAACAGGGGAAGATTAAAATACGTTTTAAGGGAACACTGACTGTTTCTCATTTATCCCAGTTCAGAGCACTTCCGTTAATTATTGATGGATTTATTTAATTAGTTTCATATTAGATTGCCTCATAAATTACAAGACTTTATTTCTACCAAACAAACAAAGATAAAAATCCCATCCTGGATCTTGTGAAAAGATGAATAGCTAGACTTTGGTCTGATTTGTTTTCCTCTGAGTCCTGTTTGCAGTCTTATCAGTGGAAACCAGGCCCTTCCCCATGATTGAACCTGCCTCCTGTGCGCTGATACGGCCTCAGTGGGATTCACTTTTACTGTTTACCTTAAGTGCAGCCTGATGGAGTCTGTGGATAGAAAAACAGTATGATAGCTCACTTTATTAACAGATGGCACTCTGCATTAATCAGGATGAGTTCATAAGACTCATATATCGTGTTCGATTTGTAAGTCTTGAACAGTTGGAAAATATGTTTTAGGTTTAAAAATATACTTGAATTGAAATATATCGCTTGCAAATGTTTTGATTTTCCCCAAAAATCTTTTATCATTCCTTATGTTTGTTGTGTATAGGTCTTCTGGCATCTCATAACACATGCAGAGTAATTTCATTTAGTAGTATTAAAACTACATGTAAAGATAAAGGCTCTTTGAGTCTGAATAATGTTGCTCTAGGTACATTGAAAGGGCTTTAATGTTACTCTTAAAGGTGGGGTATGTCATTTTGGAGAAGCCAGCTCGAGTGTGCTGGAATTTAAAATTACGCAGCCGAAAAAAATCTGCCTCTTCCTTCAGACTTCCTTACAGAGCCCCTCCTCCAACGAACGTGCACATGACCAATGAGGGCATGAGATAAGTTTGTGCACGAGATGGAAGGCTGACAGGCAGGTAGGCCATCCAGTTATTTTAGCCGGGCCGGCTCAGATGATTGGTCGATTGGCTTCCACAGATGACATTTTTTAATGTATTTATTGTCAAAGCATTTGCTATCGGGATGTTAAGAGCATTCCATGGAATATAACAAAAAGTGTTTCTGAAATAAATGACATCACCCACCTTTTAAAGCTGTACAGACAATTCCTCTTGAAGGAAAGATATGTATTGGTGTTGTTGTTGTTCTGTTTTCCCGTTTATAGTTAGTATTACTCTGTGTGGGCTTCACCATATGGTGTCTCTATGCTGTGTGTTCTCAAGCTCCGCTCGTCCAGCTGGTTATTTGCCAGCAGTCTGCTCAGATATACCTGGATGGGGGCCATTATCCAGAGAGTGCAACATAATTACCTTCTGGTTCAAATTGGTTTGAAAACATCTCTTATTTGCTTTAGCTTTGATACAGAACCACTCTCAGTCTGACTCCGTCTGTCTGGCTCCGGCGTGCCTAGAATTGTGCTCCTCCCTCTGTCTTTGTATATCACACGTGCGCGCAAACACACACCTGTGTTTGCTAAAGGATAGAGATGGAGAGACAGGGGGAGAGAGACTCACTAGAAGAACATGCATCTGTTCCTCTGCTGTATGCTTGGGGTAAAGTTTCAAGCATTTGAGTGTAAATGAATCCAGCAGTTCCTGATTCCTGGTATCACGTTGATATGAAACAATACAGGTTGATTTATATTGCAGGAACAAGCAGCGGGGAAATCATCACATATTATTGTTGTCATAGATACTGGTAGATATTATTACACTGAGACTATAACACCGTTGTTGACCTTTCTAGATCTAGATTACTCTATTCATAATCAGGTTTTGGTATGAGATAGGATTACATGGCAAGTTTGTTCACCATTTAAAATCAAACAGAACTACAAGGTACTGTTAGCACGACCGTATGCAGCAGCTTTAAAGTCCACCCCTACCTTGAGACATGGTGATGTCACTTTGAAAGGATTTGAAGTCGAAGCTCTCACTCTGAACGTGGAAGTTTGCAGAACAATCTCACCACGAGGTTCAGCTAACATAGGCAAGAAGTCTCTAAAATGTTAACGAAATGTATTGTAAATTCAGCATCTGCAGTTCCATGACTCCTGGTCCGTTGAAGAAGATCATGTGATGCTCCGGAAAAGCTACTGACTGGATCATTAACTTTGTAGTGGAATCAGAATAGTTGATCAGTCTGCTTATTTGTTGTTAAATTATTATACAAATAGTAGACACCTAATTCAGGTGCAGATCGTATAATAAGAAGTTAACTCTATGCGAAGATTAGCATGCATAATCAATGATGATTTTCCTCCTCCGCCTTACATTCCTTTGTTGGCCACAGAGATAATGAGTTATGAAGGCTGGATGCTTAATGGATGGGGCTTTCTCTCCGGCTAATATCCTTTGGCTCTGCTGTTGCAGGAATTAATTGGAATACTCTGAAGATCTTTTATCACTCTGTCTAATACCTTCAGGCTACAGTGCTTAGTTCAGAGCAGATTCAACAGACTTTGCTGCTGTAAAAGAGACGTTTCATGTTGGTTGTCACGTCATGCACATTGTTTTATCTGTTCATTATGGTGAAGATATATCTTGTTGTGGCGTTTTAGTCGAATGGGCGAATCCGGGTGGTCCACTTTGATTAGATTTGTGCTTTATCGATGCACACTAGGACTCTAGGAGGATGGATGTGAAGTCATGATGGCACAGTGCATCTAGATGTTGTTGCTACTGTAGTTTTGTTTATTTCAGTGATGAATGGCTGTTGTTGACGCATCTCCCTAGGCGGAAGTGATCCAATGTGAGACACGTGCCGTCTCCATAGAAACCTGCAGGTTGTCTGAGCTTAGACACTTCACCAGTTGAATTCCTCTGAGGCCTGATCTGTTGCCCAGAGGAGGAAGAGAGGAGAAACGCAAGGTGTCTGCTTCCTCAAGTTGGCAAATGAATCAACTCCCTGGGTGTCAGGTTCACTCACCGAGAAAATTGGTGCATAATGCCGTCTGTCTGTCTGTCTGTCTGTCTGTCTGTCTGTCTGTCTGTCTGTCTGTCTGTCTGTGTTTTGTGTGTGATTGCATGCTTACTTTAGGTGTGATCGTGAGTGGAGCGGGTGTGCATCACATCAGACTGGCACTGTCTGTTGTTTTGGCAGTATATATGAATCATTTCTGTTGATGCTGGAGATGACTGCCACGGATGCAAACAGGCCACGTTTGTGTGATGACTGCTGTCTAATTAGTGAATGGTATTTTTATTCTAATTGTTTTCATGGGGAAGGGCAATACTTTTTCACAAGTAAGGGATTGTTCGGCTAACAGCGAGGTGGCAATCAGTGCTAAGTGGGCAGATTTTTCCCAGCACCATCATTGAAAAACAAGTTGTTTTGTTTTTCACAGTTAAATCTGAAGTCTCTGGCTTTGTTGTTCTCTCTAAATAAAGATGTGGACGTGAATACATTTACATATGTGGTTAGTCTCTCGGTGTAAGACTTACAAATAGATTTGAGGAAAAAATCTAGACACGCAGGTAATTTTCCACCACTCAAAGTTAAAGGTATTTTAATCATTTGTGAACAGCAAGTAAAATTGAAGGGATATTACTTTTATTATTGGTCCATAAACCCCAAGATGAAAATCGTACTCGAAGACCGAAATTCATCTCCGAGAAACTTTTATGATCCAGCTGTAAATATCAAACCATGAAAACTGATATTATAAGAGGGTTGGTTTCTTCACAGAGAATAGATTTTGTATCACTTCAACAAAGTATTGAATATGTGTGTGTGTCTCTGTGTGTGTGTGTGTGTGTCTGTCTGTCTGTCTGTCTGTCTGTCTGTCTGTCTGTCTGTCTGTCTGTCTGTCTGTCTGTCTGTGTTTGTGCAGAAGCTGAACTTGGCAGTGTCATACGGTCGTTGTGGACAGACTCATTTCAGCAGGAAATGACAGCTATCTGTGCTCTGTGTCCGGAGGTTGATATTCCCCTTGCAGATTGCAGAGCGGTGCCCAACAAGGGGGACGTCTCCATAGCCACGGGAGGGAGGGATTGATTTATCAGACATCTAAACTATTGGTCTGTCGCTGTTGTCAGGCCAGCGGGGAGAGGGGGACATCGCCGTGACAACAAAAGCTAACTAATGAGCGTTACCTTGTGAGCATGTGTGATCTTCTCCCTCTTTTTTAAAAAGAAGTTGGATTTGCATGACTAGGATAACGTCAGAGTTTGACGCAACAGAATCAATTGCTCCCACTGAGGATTACAAACTTCTTAATAAAAGGGGTCTGTGATGTGGTGGATAAACCCTCCCTTCCTTTATTATTCCCTCACCCCCAAATGTACCACCCCCAAATCCCATGAGAGGTCTTCGGGATGAGAGCTGGTGACTCATCCACCAACTTAACATGCTCTCTTCCAACCAAGCGTGGTTCGCTTCCTCTTAACTTTTTAACCCCCGTTCACCCCGCGCTTTCTTTTTAATCGTTTAATCCTTGTTATCATAAATGTGTATTTCATGCCCTCATGATTATATTCTGTTATATGTGCAGTAAACACTCCAATAAGCAGCCTGTTTGTGTGCCTGTTTAATGAATGACTCATCCGGCATCTTCATGTCGTTGACAGGTGAAGCAGATTATGGAGGAAGCTGTAACAAGGAAATTTGTTCACGAAGACAGCAGCCATATTGTGTCTTTCTGTGGTGAGTAACCAACATAAAAATGAGTCACACCGCTTTGTCTTCTTTGTAACCTCTTCAGCTGGAACCATTCTGAAATACTGAGAACACAATTGTATTCAAATCATTCCTGATCGAAGTTACTTGTGTCTCATTTATTATGCAGTCTATAATCTGTTGCCTCACAATATCCCACTGTTTGTATGTTTCATTGACTATCTTTGGATTAATTTTAAGCTGGGGATTTCCATTATCTGTATGTATTGCTTCCTTTACCGTTACAAGAAAGATCCTACTGATCTTTTTTCATGTTTATTTTCTATCATTTATCTTTTTAGCTGTGGTTACAATGACTTATCACAAAACAACTCGACACAACACTTAATTGGACACAGGGCACATTTTAGAACATGATGAAACAAAGTACATAGGAGGGCATTATATATACTAGCATTTCCACAAAATTCCCTGTCTGATAACTCCACTGTGTAGCCATTTTGATAATGAAAACTAACTCACAAATACAAGGTTAAAGGAAAGTAAGAGGTTTAACTTAACTTAACTTTACCGTTCTCCAAGAACATAGCAATGATCCTTTATGTTTCCATGATGAGAGCAAAATACTTAGTGTCATAGATCCAAATGAATATAAGCAAAATGGTCAATAATTAGAGTTATTCACCACTACCAACAATACATGCATACACACATGTTCTGGCAACACCAATCTTAGTCTTAGTGGGACGGAGTGGCGCAGTGGGCTCTGCGTTGATCATCAGACCAAGGGTGGCGTTGGGAAACTCCAGTTCGAAAGCCACCACTGCGTCAGGCCGTTGTGTCCTTGGGCAAGACACTTCACCCGAATTTGCTCCTGTGGGTACTGTCCACAGTACATGACCGTTACATGTATGATATGTGTGTAATGTGCACTTGTAAAGCGCCTTGATGACTTTGAGGTGTGAAGATGGGTGGAGTGGCGCAGTGGGCTGTGCGTTGCTCATCAGATCAAGGGGGCGTTGGGGAACACCAGTTCCAAACCCACTGCCACTGCGTCTCTAAAGCCGTTGTGTCCTTGGGCAAGGCAGTACATGACCGTTACATGTGTGTAATGTGTATTTGTAAAGCGCTTTGAGCATCTGGAAAAGCGCTTTAATACATATAAGGAATTATTATTATTATTATTAGTCCATCAGAGAGGATAACATGTAGCTGATGTTCCTTATTATTACATTTATATTCCTTTTTAATAGAGATATTTCTCCAACAACAAGTTTTTTTTTTGCCAAATGAATACAAGTCTTTAAAAGGAAGTCGGGATTATAGTTGCCACATTAAAAACATACAGTATACAGCCACATCATCAGCTTAACTTCTACAAAAGCAAAATAAAGGACATTTTAAAGTTCAATATTTCACCAAATGTTATTGTTCTTGCCTCCAAATAGCCAACAGAGCGCAGCACGATCACTGTGAGAAACACACTGCCCACATGCAGGCGCTCACACCGGTCAGATGTCTGCCTCAGTAATCAGTAACAATGTGTATTTGGGGATTTCAGTGGGAATAAATCGACTCTCAGCGTGCAGGAAATGTGATATTTATACTAGCCAAGAGCCAATCCTCGCAGACAAAGACTGCTCTTAACTCATAACATGAGACTCTTGGCAAGCTATTGAAATGTAGGAAAGTGTGTTTATGGTATAAACAAATGAACAGTTATGAGACCTTCCCTTTACACAGATTCTTCAAATTTCATTGTAGCCCTTTATAAATATGTTCGAGTCGATGCACATACTGTACAAATAAAACCTATAGAAAAAGGTATATTGTGAAAATCTGCTTTACTGTAAGACAGTTTCACTAACTTTTAAAAAACTGAATTCAATCTCCTGTCATGTGCGTCAGACCGAAGCTACTGTGCCTACAGCTCATTTGTGGCTTATTTATATTCAACCAGACATAACGCCTCTCAGGTTATAAAAATATACAATCAATAACGTGTGCTTGAGTGTCCATGGAGATGACATCCCTACCATATCATATCCAAGAGTATCTGATTGAAAAGCTGTGAGAGGAATTTACTGCAGGGCTTGAAAATGTATTAAACCAAATAACAATAGACATCCTTCCCAACCAGTTAGCTTGCCCCAAATATCTTTGAATGTTTTGTTTTTTCTTTAAATGGTGTATTACCTTCCACAGAATTGAATGCAATGTGATGTTTTTGTACCAGTGTCGTCTGCATTGTTTGTGCTATGTGTTTTCATTTGATTTTGCCTGTCAGCAGTATCGTTGGCCTTCGCTGTAGACAGTATTGGATCAACAAACTGCTTTCTTTCATAGATGCTCGTCAGTCAGAGGGGATCTTTCCTCTACTACTATCATGGTCATGTAGAAGCTCAGGATGACCCTCTCATCTTTGTGTTGTTGTCAGCCAGCATCCTCCTCCTGTGATCCTCATAGTGGCTCTTATTATTCCAAGTGCTCTTTCAGCTGGTCTGTTTAGAGATAGGAGCGAGTGGAGGATGGGCGGGAAGCTCGGCCAGCTGACCGGGGAGCAATTAGCCTCCACCATCACGGCTACTTTGATGAGATATCCCCGGTAGAGTCTGAAATGTAGACGCTCTGAAGAGATAGAAAGCCGTCCTTGACTCGAGTTATGAAGCATTGAGTAGTAAGAGATACACAGAAAAGGTTCAATCAATTGTAGTTTTATCAAATCAGTTTGTAATTTTTTACACATTGCTTTTTATTTAATTCATTCTTGATCCTTTGTGTTGAAGTCCTCGCTTCTTACATCTGTCATGACGGATCAAAACGATTATTTTAATGGCACCCTGGCTGATTTCTGTTGAACAGTGAAGAGATTAAAGCCACTTCATTTTGTTTCACCTTTTTAGAAATACACTAACCATTTAATCAAAATGTGACCTGCACTTCTGACTGATGGCTTTTTCTGTCGTACTTACCAAAATGGTTTGCATGTCACAGCCAATTGGCTTGAACAATCAACTCACTCAATTGTGCTTACAAAGTAAATCATTTTTCCCAAAGATGTGAATATTTAAATATGCTGAAGATGAGATCAAATGTAGACAAAGGTAGCAAAAGCAGCCAAATCGCTTAAAATGAACCAGAGCATAACTTGATTTAGACCAATGGTGGTTGTTATGTAATGTGTGGTCATTATGGCCGATGAATCTAGTGATTAATGTTGAGATTAATCACCAATCATTAATCATTCTGTCCATTAAATGTCAAATCCATGAAAGTGAAGCGAACAACAGGCTGTAATCATCAAGTGTGTATTCGTATCATAACATATATAACACACACACACATGATACATTGATTAGAAACATCATTAGATAATATTCTGTGGATGCACTCAATGACTTAGTGTCTAATCATTTCAGCGCTCTCCACGATAGGCTCTTTGTCTGCGGTGGGGAAAGTGTTGGTCACTGTCCACGAGTCTCTTAATGCACTCCGTTGCCACAGATACAGGGTGATTAGAGGCAATTTACTGTGTTAGCTGTTTTTACCAGGAGACACTGCACCAATAAGTGATCCCACTGACATGATGCTCATTTTCTTGTCACTTCTGTATTTAATTATTCATCTGGTAAAATGGTAAAATAAGATTTAATTGTACAGATCATTTTCCTTCCATTCTCCCTACTTTATGTCTCAAACTGAAACCTTTTCTTTTGTATACGTGCCATACAGTTGAACACATTTCCCAAGGTATTGTTTGTAACATTGCCCCTGATGCCGTTGTTCATTTTAGAGTTTGTAACTGCGGAGACTATGACACACTGGGAATTTCCTCGCTAGCTTGGAATACACAGTCCCTCTAGAGCAGTGTCATGTTTGGGAGTTGATTTCTTTTGCACCTTTACCATCTGAGACTAGTTAGCAGAAACGATGAGAGGAAGCAGGATGAACTATACGAGGAGACCTTGTCATGTTACGCTTTGCTCTGACATTTGGCTTCTTGCTCTTATAATGATGTGGAGGAAAGCAGCTGAGGGAGGAAGGGGAGCAAAATGCAGGAAGAGATGGAGAGGAAAAGATCAGCAAAGATGACATGGTTGTATTAGAAAGAAAAATCAAGCTGATGTCGTCGCTGACACTTTTATTTCCTAGGTAGGAGATAAACGCTGTTAGCAGCAGCGACAGAGAAAGTGACTGATGTACTGATAGCATGGAGGCAGGATAGAAGCTGTGTTTGAAGGGGTGATGCTGATGAGATGCTGCCACCCCTCCATCCCTCCCTCCCTCCCTCGCTCCGCTGCTCGTCTCCCAGAGCTCCATCAACAGGGGTAACCATGGTGACACCAGCCTTCCCCCTGACCCCATGTGAACAGAGCCACAGGATTAGTCCTGAAAGAAAACTCAAATGTCAACACAGCTCCAGGCGCTGCCACGTAGGCCTGAGAGAGGAGAGGGGTGTCTGTTTTCTGCACAATTGAGCAATTTTGTGTGTCATCGACTTGTGTGTCCGCTACAGCTCGATGGGTAACTTTTTGAATGTAAAGATCATCACGTAAATCTTCATTTAAAAAAGAAAAAAACTGTTTTTTTTTATGCAGCATTGAACTTAACAGAAAATACGTACAGACAAAAAGTGCATCAGAAGGTTAAGTTAAGAATTGAATAGGGCACCACTTTATACGGTGTTCATTTAATGTGTAAATGAACACCGTCAAACGCATTACTACTATGCATCAACACTTCAATAAAAACATACAATAGAAATGCACTGTGCAGAATTGCGGGGGTGATGAAACTCACTTGACATCTGACATGTGCATTGTTGCTTTGTTCATTTTTATTATAGTGCGCATGAATATCTGGAAATCATTATCAACATCAAGTGTATTATGACGTGGAGGTTTGACATGCTCTCATCTAAAGAAAAGGCTTTGTGCCTCAAAACAAAAAACCTATATAAGTATAGATCAGTGCGATTCATTTGTGACAATTTCAAGAAATTACATCACAAAATGGAATTACTCTATTATATATGTTCAAATTAGTCAAAAGAAATCCCTATTTGTAATTTCTTATATAATTGGCTTTATGGTTCTATTTATTGTGTTAGGATTCAGATATCTTCCCAGCAGTTGGTAGAGACCAATACAAAGCTAAAAGGAGAGGGAATATTGGACTACGGTCTGGTGTCTTTTTAATGATATACTCTTCTGTTTTATGTGCATACATTTAGAGTATCGTGCCCCCTAGTAACACTTGTCTAACCTTGTGTGTGTCCCACAGCTGCAGTGGAGGCATGCGTCCTCCACGGGCTGAAACGGAGAGCAGCAGGCTTCCTGCGCAGCAACAAAATAGCGGCACTCTTCATGAAGGTGGGGAAGAGCTTCGTCCCGGCGGAGGATCTGTGCAGAAAGGCCCAGGAGCTGGAGCAGGTCATGGAGACAAAGTGAGAGACTAACATCTCACACATCACAGCAGACTTGAAAGCTTACATCAAAGCCCTGCAAAAGCGAAAGCCTTGAAAAATATATGGCTGTCTGCTCACTTGAAAAGCTTCTAAATAATTCATGTTTCCAGCTTTTATGAATGATGAATTGCTGATGCCATTGAGTCATGCAAATGCGGTTTTCACTGAATGCAATTTTAAACCTTGTTGATTTTGTGACTCTCTCCTCCTGCAGACGAAGTCAAAGCATGCAAAGTCAAGACGGTTTACGCAAGATGCCTCGACTGCCCAGCCTCAGCCCGCAGGGAGTCAAGAACCTGTGGATCCGGACGGCTTTATTTGAGAAAGTGCTTGACAAAATTGTCCTCTACCTGGTGGAGAACAGCAGGTACATTGAGAATAGTCAATAATACCACTTTTCGACTGTGTTAAAAGAACTCCCTCTGCCTTGTAAAAATCCCTCTTCCATATTTGTCTTCCAGTAAATATTATGAGAAAGAGGCTGTTCTAATGGACAATGTGGACGGACCTATCCTTGCCTCTTTGTTAGGTAATTATATGTCTTTTATTGTGATCATCTAGCATCATGTCTTACGCTATGGGTTCTGCTCATGTTCAAATAGACGTGTGTAATCGTGGGAGTATTAGGAACAAATTCAGCAGAATTGTATAAGCTTGTTAGTGAACCAGTATGCTTCACGAGGACGTTATGGTAACCATTTTCTCTCCCTATTTATACTAATAGCCAATCCGTCATTGCAGTCTTTGATTGGCTAATTTCTACTCTTGACCACTGGAGGTTTAGACTAAAGCAAATGGTCTTGACAGGCTAAACAGTAGGAGCTCACCCTGCTGAGACATGATTCCTCACCAGCTTCCCATCTGTGAACACTGACAGTGATTTCATCCGAGACGAAGGCACTGCTGCTGGGAGCTACATTTGGTTCCCAGCAGAGGATTTAATAAGTGTGCCAGTACTTGTATTTCTTTAGACTGTCTTGGTAAATGTTTTACCCTCAAGCAGAGATATCAAAACAAGATGGACACAAGATAAATCAAAGGGGATGGTAAGTTGATTACGAAGACACAAAGGCAGATCAAAAACATATTCCCGCCGCACACAATTCAGTTGTATTTTGTTTATTTTTTCTAAGCTTTGCCTTTTGCTTGTGAATTATTGGATACTCTTGCAACCTCCAGTCCATGAAAAAAGTGATTTTAAGATTAAAATGTTTCTATTTTAACCACCTGAACGTATGCAGCATGTACCAACGGAGCAAAAGTAGCAACTAACACTTATTTCAGAGGATACAAGCCTAAGATATTTGGATCTACCATTCTCAACTGTTATATAAATGGTTTGTAGCTTTTGTAGTTAAAGAAGGAGTCTGTTCTGGTACATCTCTGAAAATCTACTCTTTTAGTTCTACAATTTGTATCCTTCTATTTCTCTATTTTTGAGTGTGCCAAATAATGTTTAAGATGATCCTGTAATGTTCACTGGTTGTATAATGTCTTAAGTGAGTGCCTGCACCATTAACTGGTCACCTTTACTGTGACAGTCGGACCTTGTGCTTTGGAGTACAGCAAGATGAAGACAGCTGACCACTTCTGGACCGACCCCTCTGCTGACGAGCTGGTGCAAAGGCATCGTATCCACGGGGGCCACTGCCGACAGGATTCTCCCACTAAGAGGCCCGCACTGTGTGTGAGTATTAAACTAGCAATGCAGTAGATGAACATGCATAATCAGTGCCAGGCTCCTTTTTTGTTTATTTATGAGTTCTAGAGGTGTGTCTGATCCCTTCTGTGATGTTGCCTGTCTGATTAAAGCAAACTCGCTAAGATTACTGCACAGCGTGTCCCCGGAGAAAGAACAAAGTGTATCGGAGAACTTCACACCTGTTCTGTCTTCATTCACCAACCAGGTCAACTCGGCCTTTTTTACGGCACCTCAGTGCTCCAAGCAGTTGCGTGGTGTTGTTTGTTTGTGTGTGTTTTCCAATCCGAAACATGGGCGGATGCATTGGTGCACATGAATCAATCTTCTCATTCTCTCTTGATTAATGTGAAACAGAGGATCTTGTTCATGAAACCTGACTGCACTGTGACTGGCCATCTGTAATGTATTCTGCAGAGACATTCATCGTTTTACCTCTGGTTTACGATGATTGTTATCTGATGTGATTGGGTTTCTGTGTTGTGCAGATCCAGAAGCGGCACTCCAGCAGCAGCATGGACGAACGCCCTTCCCCCTCACCATCAGCTCGTGAATATGTGGAGTCGCTGCATCAAAACAGCAGGGTGACCCTACTGTTTGGCAAAAACAATGTGCTCGTACAACCGGTAACTGTCCGATCCCGCTGAATGACTCAGTGGATATATAACTATGACTCTCCCTATAAATAATATCTCAATTGACAACCGACAGGCTTAAAGCCCGCGTCACACTGTCCCGAAATTGAAGGTTCATTTTCGTGTTGACTTCGTGTGTCCATTTTGCCCCTTCGTAAGGCATTCGTGAGGGCATCTTAAGCCATTGTATGACCGCCGGTGGAATTTATCAGGCTCCGGCAGCAACTTCGGGAGCGGTGGCAAAATCTTTGGCATGCCAAAGATTTGCCCGATGTTGCTACGATCAGAGCTGAATTTGAACATTTCCTTTATCGTGTGTCCATCTGGTTGTTTTATTGCACAACAAAATCATGTAAACATATTATGTAAATAACCCAATTTGTGTTCTGTGAAACTAAAAAGGATATAATATATTATTTTGAAGGCGAGGAAGTTGTTGTTGCTATGGAAACAACATGACGGAGAAAACTTAATATCTTCTACATATAAAGACGGAGAAAGTAAAGAACAAAGTCGGAAAATATCAGTACAGTATCATAGCACTTTAACATAATTGTTTGTGTTACTTTCGTTGCAGTTGTATGTCTTAAATGTAATGTAAATGTTGTCTTCGTGTGTGGTTCGGGGCCATCTTCGTGCGAAATTCACAATTCCATATTCGGGTGTCAATTTCGGGACAGTGTGACAGGGGCTTTAGGAAGCTAAAATCAGGTTGACATTTCTGTGTTATTATTAGAAATGTCAGTTAAATTGTATTATCAGAACACTATAACATGCTTATTTAGACACATAAATACTATGAGGAACAACCTATTATTTAACTTATTTGTATTTAATTATACAATATTTCTAAACCGGATAATTCAGTATACTTCCTTAACTGTAATGTATACTAACCCTAACCCTAACATCCATGGTTGTTTCAGAGGGATGACATGGAGGCTATCCCAGGTTACCTCTCTATGCACCAGAATGCTGACCTCATGACCCTGAAGTGGACCCCCAACCAGCTGATGAACGGCTCTGTTGGAGACCTGGACTACGAATGCAGGTGCAAAATGATCCAGCTGTAAATGTATCATGATAACAGTGATTGTGTCTGTGTACCTGTGTTGATAATGTGTGTAATCCTTCTCACATAAAAAAAAACATTCTGCCATATATATTTCTTTCTTTTTGTCTGCTGTTTGTGTAACACTCAGGTGTTTCTGAACAATGCAGCGTGTGTTTGTGTGTGGCTCACTGGCTCAGTATGGAGAGTCAATGCTGCTGATCTGATGAGGCTTATTTTCAGCAGATGGTTTATTGACTGAGACACGGCCAGACATCTTTCAAAACCGACAAACCGTGTTATGTGCCTGTGCCTGTTCATTGTTCCTCTCACCAAAAAAATTGATTATTGCATTTGCCAACTCAGCTCATGCTTGTCTGTGCGCAACTACTCTCTTTATTAGCCGTAAAAATAAATGACGCTTGAGATTTCGAATCGCAGGGATACCCCTTATCGATTTACTTTTCACTGTGAAATGATGATTTACCTGGTGTGCTAAAGCTAGTAACCAGGTTATTTTCTTCATTCTTTTTTCTATTAATGTTTTCTAGTGTATACTGGGACTATGCAATGACCATCCCTCTCGGGGAGATAGTTTACTTGCACTGTCATCAACAAGGTAAGCGCTCGCAGACCTTTATAGCACAATTTGCCTTTTTTTATTTGTCATCATTGTCTAAATCAGGGGTGGGGAACCTTTTTCCTCTGAAGGGCCATTTCAATTTTTTCAACATCCTACGAGGGCCGTACAAATGATTGACCTCTGCTTAAAAATATAAAAATCACTTTGCCTTTCTTTCATGCTGTGCAAAGAAAAAGCAACCTCTTGATCCAGATATCTTACCATGACTCGCGTATGCATGCACGTGCACGGTTGCGGCATGACCACCACAACAGAAAGATATGGACACAAGATGTGTGCAAATGTATTTAGTTTCCTATCCATGTGGACATGATTTAAGTGGGGGGGGGGACCTAACCTCCTCTAGGGGGGTCCGGGAGGCATGCTCCCCCGGGAAGATTTGTTTTTAAATGTTGAAGTTAAAAGCGTCAATCTGGTGCACTATGAGAGCAAAATTAAGAGATCTATGGATACATCTCTCAACACCCATATGAAACAGAACTGTAAGCAGATTTATTTTTCTTTATGGATATTTTACAAATCACATTTTTTTACTCCCATATAGTATTTTATACCTGTTTACTTTATTCTCTTATTTTTTTATAATGATCATATAAAGATGTGCCTTTACCTCACTGGTTGTAGAAAAAGCTTCTTATATTCGTTAGCATAGCTAGCTAACCAGATGCTAATAACAACAACGTTATTGACTGTATGATCAGTATGACAGATGAACAGATCGCCACTGGGCTTACAACTAAGACACAGCCACGCAAAAGCTGCGGAATGTGTACGGCTCCTTATGGGTACTGCAATTTCTGAAGTGCCGGAGCGGCGTTCTGGTGCTCTCCGTCAGAACCACGTGATGACAGTTATTAGGCTCGTGTTGTGTTCAAGGACCCTGACCTTGGCCAGGAAAAACAGGCACTCGCTTGTTTAATTCTTTTGCGGTCTAGATTTCTTTAATTTTTGTCTTTTTTGTGCGTGTTTATAAATTACCTCGAGGGCCGTACGAAATGGTCTCGCGGTCCGTATATGGCCCGGGGGCCGGAGGTTCCCCACCCCTGGTCTAAATAAACACTGCTGTGGCATGAAATGGCATCATGAATAATTTAACATAAAGTCCTCTGGTATATCTCCTGCAGTTGACAGTGGGGGGACGGTGGTGCTGGTCAGTCAGGATGGGATCCAGAGACCTCCACTTCGCTTCCCAAGAGGAGGCCACTTGCTCCAGTTCCTCTCCTGCCTGGAGAACGGCCTGCTTCCCCACGGACAGCTGGACCCCCCGCTGTGGTCCCAGAGGGGAAAGGTCAGCACAGGAAGTCTTTATTTAGGGTCCCTAGCCTCACATACAGTAAACAAATTACACATTAAAGGGCACTCAAATGCAGCATCAGCCTGATCAATACATCAATAAATCAATAAAAACGACGTTTTGAAACGCATTGCATGGTTGTAATATTAGTCGGAGTGATAGTAATGAATATGTGGCGTAATGTTCTCTCTGCACCACAACACAGAAAGTGGCTTCTTTAATGAATGGATTTTTTTTTGATGGACTGTGAGTAGCATTTTATCTGCAGCTAAACAGTATAATGAAAACCGCCCATGCAGGTTCAGGCACTATTATTAAGCATGACACTCATCCTCTAATCACATGGATGGCTAAACTGGGCTCTAATGGGTTGGAATGATTTAGTTGTTGGCATTAGTTAAATATTGTTTATATTCTCGTCACAGGGGAAGGTGTTTCCGAAGCTGCGGAACAGGGTTCCTCAGGGATCTGGATCCTCAGACTCGGTCTCAGATAAGGAGGAGGACGAGGCCACCGACTATGTCTTCCGCATCCTCTTTCCAAACAGCCACTCAGAGTTTGGTGAGATTCCCTACTGAGAAGCAGACAGAGGTGGAAGAAGTACTCGGATCGTGTTCTTAAGTAAAAGTGTAGCAGAGTGCTGGAATACTCTGTTACAAGTAAAAGTCCTGTATTCAAAATATTACTCAAGTAAAACTCCAAAAGTGTTGGTACTAAAAGTCAAACGTAACAAAATAAAAGTACTCATTCAGATTGGCCCATTTTACAATCATATATAATTATTTATGTATCGAGCTGGTAAAGGTATAACTCATTTTGATTACATAATGTACTGCTGGGTAGTTGTCATCCAGGTGTAACTAGTCTTTTTTAAGTGTTGATCATATTGTTTATCATCAATATACTTGAGTAAATGTATTTAGTAATTTGCACCACTGGAAGTAGATGAATGTGAGCGGCGCCCGCGGGCCTTTCCAGATTGTTGCATTTTCATTTGTTGTCACACGTTGTTTGTTACAGTGACTGTAACCCATGCTCCCCATCTGACTTCCTCCCTCTCACTTCCACTGAGTGGGTCGTCCCCCTTCAAAACAGGCATCCTGGTTGTCCCAAAGAGGTCCTGCAGCTGCCCTGAAGACCCCCCCACTCTCACAGGAAGCAGCTGTAACACAGTCACACCTCTGCTCTGTCTGTCAGCTTGCTTTAACTTCCTGATCTAATCTCCTCCTGACCTGTCCTGAGCCTCTGGCGATGTTTATCGATGTGTCCTGCGATTAAAACCCCTCCCACTCCCTGCTGCCCTTTTTACTGCATTACTGCGCAGTAACCTTTCAACAGCCGCTGCGTGGATAACTGATTGATCGATTTCCCTTTATAATAATGTAATTGAATTGGCCGGCTTCATGCTTTCACATTCTGCACCAGTTCAAGAATGCAAATGTACTCTTTTTGATATGCTTTAACAGGAATCAAACACAAAATTGTTCTCTCAGGTGCTTTTAGCGGATCACAGTCGATGAGCATAATTCTGCAAGTCTTTCCAGCTGTGTTTGAATCAATGTAATTAATGTTGAAAGCCTGTGTAGCGTAATGCTTTTAAAATGGCAATGTTTGTGTGTGTGTGTGCATGTGTGTTGGTGTGTGTTTTGCAGTGACTCCTCCAGACTTGGACCAGGGAGCTACAATGTGGCATCCCACCCTCAGGAAGTCCTCGTGTTCCTCTTGTTCTCATGGCAGCTTCTCTGACGGAGCCACGCCTAAGGGGTGCAATCATGAGAGGTGAGGAATAAGCACGCTTTACACTGGACTGTGTTGTGTTCAGGGTTCGGAGGGGTTACTCTAAAAATGTAATCCGTTACAATTAATAGTTACCTGAAAATATATATGTAATAATCAGTAACCTAATCTGAGTATCACAATATAAAAGTAATGCATTCTGATTACTTTGTTACTTTTGGATTACCTCAAAATAAAATGCAATGCAAATAAAAACAAGAGAAAATAAATATCAATAAGGTGTTTTTATTTAAGTGTATGTAACAATGTAACCTTAGAAAAGAGAAAAACAAGATTTCCATACCAAAGAGTAGTAACAGTAATAGTTTACAAATGCTGTTTAACCTAATACCTTCATCAAAAGCATAGACTGTATTTTTTTTATATATATATCAGGTGTCCACCTACTGCATTAAAAAATAAATTATTTAAAATAAAGGATCATTTAGGTAGCCAGAATATAAATCATAAAGAATATTCATTCAGTATGTCTACCTATAATATATATATATATATGTTTTTTAACACTGTAATCTTGCTAGTAATTTCAATTTAAAATTAACAGTAATCTGATTACTTGATTTGTTTAATGTAATTGTAATCAAATAGTTACACTTCATTTTTTAATCCTGATTACGTAATCTTGTTACCTGGAATCTGTTACCCCTGAAGCCTGGTTGTGGTACATTGTGACAGGGAAACTGCTCAAGACACACAGTAACATGACACCCCATGACTTCGTACAGTGATATATCAGGAAAAACACACCCTTTCTATGATTGTGCACAAACACATAGGTATATAAGTCCTTTAGAGCGCACACACAATACAGAGGAAACAGAGAAAGCAGCAAAGATACAACAACCAGGCAATTACCTAGGAGACAATTATGTGACATTTACCTCACTGACACATGTTTGGAAAACAAGGTGATGAGCGAGGCAGATAAAACGGTTAAAGTTTATGGAAAAAAGGCCATCCTCAGAGCCATTTTGTTCTATATGGCAGCACGACAATAATTAGCATGATAAAAGGTTAGACCTAACCCTGTAATAAACTCAGTTTTTAATGATGCATTGGGTAATTAGTTTAAGGATAGAGAAGAGAAATGTTTTTCCCTTAGGTGAAACACTGTAAATGTGAATGTGCTGCGTCTTCCTGCAGGGCTCCTCTGAAGATGCTGTGCGACAACATGAAGAATCAGATCATCTCTCGGGCGTTTTATGGCTGTATGTGATCGCTTATTGTTTACACTGAAAAGCATTTGACATAAGTATTCACATTCAGTATGAAAAATGTGTTGGAAGAAGTGCGCAACATTCTCCTTTGAATTATCACTAACATCTGCAGAGCCACTAAGTAATGAGATGTTTTGTCCTGCAGGGTTGGCGTACTGCCGTCACCTGTCCACCGTGCGCACACACCTCTCTGCGCTCGTCAATCACACCATCGTGGCGCCCGACGTGCCGTGCGACGCCTACAAAGGGCTCACCACAGACGTTTGGCAGACGTTCCTCCAGGACTGCACAGTAAGCATCGCTGGTGTCACAGCACTGCAACACAAACATCACACTGCTGCTGACATTATGCTACACACACACACACACACACACACACACACACACACACACACACACACACACACACACACACACACACACACACACACACACACACACACACACACACACACGCGCGCATGCATGTCCACTCTCAGGCTTTCTCCCTCCATCAATCTTGTCTCTCATCCATATTCACCCTCTGTTAATCATGTGGCTCACACCATTAGTCTCACAACAGAGTGCATGAAGCATGACTAATGACCCTGTCAGTCTTAAAGTCCACATCTATCCTTAATTTAGACATTAGCAACGTTTATCTGAAGCCATTATAAGTTTGACCTCAACATAAATGTACATGCTTTACAAGCTAATATTTGAATGAAAACGGGTTTATTTGTTGTGAATAATACTTGTGTTGCCAAGTAGGTTTACACATACGACGAATTTGCCTTGGTGAAATAGTGCATACATAAACAAAGTGAAAGAAGATACATTCTAGGAAACACCAGTAAAACATTTAAAGAAAATAAAAAAAAAACTATTATAACATTAACTCTGATAAAATACTCAGAACAATAAAATAAAATATGTGCAGTATTCTTATGAAAAGTGTAAAGCTGTGCAGATATTAGGAGAGGTAGCTTATCTACACATGTGCAACATATTCAGAGGGTTGTGCAGAACTGGCAATACTGAAATGAAATAAATTAAAAACTACTACTACAGCTCTCTGTGTTGCTAATGCTGTGCAATGATTTGAAATAGTCTTTTAGGGAAAATCCAAAAGAGAAAAGAAAGTACTTGTGTCTTGTGTCTCCAGGCATACGAGGAGAAGGACCTGCTCCGCCTGGTGTACTACGGCGGGGTGGAGGCCTCGCTGCGTAAAGAGGTGTGGCCTTTCCTGCTGGGTCATTACCAGTTTGGAATGTCAGAAGCTGAAAGGAAGGAGGTTTGTAGTTTCCACAATTATATTTCTTTGTGTTCAGAGCGTTTTCCCCCTGAACCACTGACCCTTGATGGTACCCTCCTCCTCCCCCCAGGTGGACGAGCAGGTGCGAGTGTGCTACCAGCAGACCATGAGTGAGTGGCTCGGCTGTGAGGAGATCGTCCGGCAGCGGGAGAAGGAGCAGCACGCGGCGGCCATAGCAAAGTGTTCCTCCGCAGCGAGCATGGACAGTCCCAGTCAGAAGATGATGAGCCACCACAACTCCTCCGTCAGCAATGAGGTGAATCACACTTATTTTCAGAGTTATAAAATAAATTCGACAAGTAAAAGTCTGTTTACTAGTTACAGGCTGTACTTCTCAGCGTGTTGAATCAGTTGTATAACTCTTCTGTAGCTTAATTTTTGAAAAGTCAAAGTTTCAAATGTTCTTTATCCTGCAACGTCACACAATTGTAATTTGAAATCCTCAGAGTATCCCTTTAAAGGTCACCTATTATGCAAAATCCACTTGTTCATGTCTTTTATACATCAACATGTAAAGAGTACATGTACATGTAAACATGTAAACTGTGTAAAGAGATTCTAAAAGTTTCAGGAACAAAGATTCTCTCTCTCTTTGTCCTGATCCATTTATATAAAAACCTGTCTGAAAATGAGCTGATCAGATTTTGGCCACTTTATGATGTCATAACGATTTTTTGGCTTGTGTACCCATTAGCCAATCACCAACCAAGGTAACCCCCCCCCCCCACCTTATCACCTGAATCTCCTCCTAGAGCACCATTGTGTTCTTTCTAACCAAATATCTCTCAGAGGGGCGTGGGGAGTGGCTCCTTATTTTCATCTAAAGTAACAGACAGAGAATCAGCACTTTGGAAACAGGGCTGAAACAGAGGGGATTATGGGATGTTGCAATGATCTGTTTGGTGTTTGGAGCCAAACACTTCAGAGACATGTTTTGTATATATCTGAGACTTCTAATATATTGATGAAAAACAGTATAATAGGGGACCTTTTAATGTCATCTCAGCACATGAGCCAATGTAATAACAGAGATGCATTTCAGTTCAAATAAGTGTTTATATAATAACATCTTGGCCGGTATCTTTATTACCCAGTCCCAGTCCTCCCAGAGCTCAGACAGGCAGAGTCTGGCTCGCCTGCAGAGTGACTCCAGCAGCAGCACACAGGTATGACACACTCACCAGATAGCAGCCTGTGTAGACGGTCTTCTAAAAAGGGCCTTTCAAAGACTGAAATGGTGTTTAGACTTCTTGTATCCGGATCCTAAAGTAATGCATGTGATCTCAACCCTTTTCAACATCCCTGCATTTTCCCCTTGCTAGTTCTTCACATCCTCCCACCCCTTCCCCTGGAGTAGCCTGCTTCCCTTTGGCTTGTTCTTTCAGGTGTTTGAGTCCGTGGAGGAGGTTGACCCGATCGAGACGGAGCCCAAGAGCGAAGAGGCCAAACAGGTGCCAAAGATACCCAACGGGGCTCTGCAGAACGGGACGAGCTCTCCTGACTCCGGACATCCTTCGTCCCGCAACTTCTCCGTCACCTCCGGCCTGTCGGATGGCTCCCTCACAGAGGACAGCGCTGCACCTGATGCTACCCCAAAACCTGCCGCTGTCCCTCAGGCGCCACAGAGCCCAGTCAAACCTGCAGACAGTGAAGGTCTCACAGAGAAGAAAGGTAGTGTGAAGAACAACCAGGAGGAAGAGGAGAAGGAGAGAGGACATGTGACCAGAACTGAAGAAAACATCAAGACTGAGGAGCTGTCGAATGCCAAGGAAGTGACAAGTCTGCAAGCCAAAACCCAAGAGGCCGCTGATGAGTCTGGAGAAATTAAAACAGAGATGCCAGAAAGGGAAGATAAAGATGCACTTAAAGGAATTGAAGGGGAAACGGAGAAAGAAGGGCCCGATACGATGGTATCACCGGCTGCTGCCATCGAATCTAAAGGAGAACTTGTTGAGCAAAGTCTGACTGAAGAAGCAGAATTAAATGCTGAGGGAGAGACAGAGATTAAGAATATAGCAGAAACAGATGTGGAAAAAACAAAGGAAATGGATGAATCAAAGACGAGTAAACCTCAAGAGTTTGTGTTGGAAGAAAAGAAAGAAAATGTATCTGTTCATCCAGTGGATCCCGTGGTTGAGAAGAACCTGATTTTCTCAGCAGACTCGACAGCCAGAGAAGCCTACTTTTCCTCTCAGAAAGACGAGGCTCGGGTCATGACTGAATCTGACGAGTCGCCCTCCGCCATAGAGATGGAGGACATCCCTAAAGCCAACGTTTCCATGGTGCCTTGGAGCAGGAAGGGGCGTTGTGAAGCAGCCCCCCACCTGGAGCCCGGCCAGGAGGACGAGCAGGGAAAGCCCACTGCAGAGGAGCCACAGGGGGTGAACCTGTACCCTAACTTTGTCTCTCCGCCTGGACCTGGAGACCCTAAGAATGAAGCGCCCTCCCAAGAGTCTGGGAGTCCCTTCACTGTATGAATCAGATTTTCAAATGTAAAAAAAAAAAACCTTTCTATGTGTTGTTGTTGTTATTGAGCTTATTTAATGTATTTATTGTGTTGTTTGTTTCAGCAAGAGCTTTTGGACTTGTATACATTAAATCTGCACCGGATTGAAAAGGATGTCCAGCGCTGTGACCGAAACTATTGGTACTTCACTCCCGCCAACCTGGAGAAGCTGCGCAACATCATGTGCAGGTAAAACACTCACAGCATCAGGATGTTAAAGAATACAGACATGCTGATTTCATCCTTCTTAATATCTACTGAAAATGGCTTATCTACATTTTAAGGCTGGCGGCATGAATGTAAATCTGCTAATGAGTGTTGGGGGTTATAATAATAACCATTTATTTTGTGTCCATTCATCACATACTTTCCTGCTGGCAATTTGTCTAGAGCACCAAATGTGTGTCAATTCACAGCTGAAAATAGTCTACGACAAATGCATGATTTTCTCATTTTGAGTAACATTCACTCAAATCTAAAGTGCCTGGCTGTTTCAAGAAATTACGTAGCCTTTTTACATTTTAAACAATTTATAACTTTTTAAAGATTTAAGTCTTTAGTAGGTACAAACGTTTTGGGGCAGATTGCAAATGATAGTAACTGAAGTCAGAAAGATGAGAGGGACAGAATAATACCACACCTTTTTTGGTTTTGGTTTTTCCTGAGGATTTGAAAGGAAATGCAAGAAAGAAAACAGAAAAATGTATATGCCAGCTTATTCGGCCCAAACAAAAGCCCGTTAGAAAAGCCTAATCATTTTGCAGTAGTCGCCTTGATAAATGGTGATAAAACAGCGTCGAAAACACACTTTTTATACACCAGGTGCAGCTCAAAGTGCTTTCCCAACATGGCACGGATCACAAATTAAAACAAAAAACAAGAAATTAACTTCAGGTCAAACGTCTAAACCTTTACGCACGAACACATGCAGCATAACAAGATTATATAACAGTGCAAGGAACACAAGGAGGTAAAAGGTGTGATAAGTCAAAGGAAATACAATAAAATAATAATGATCCCTCTGTTAAATAAAGGCAGAATTAACACAAAATAATTGAATAAAATACAATTTTTAAACAAAATAAATAAAACAATAATAATCATTTTTTAAAAAACAAACGAATATGAATAATAAAGATTAAAAGACTGCTAATAAAACTATAAAATAAATAAACATAAATTAAGACCTATAAAATAAATACATCAATAAAACAATATACAAATAAATAATACTAATTATAAAGATTGAAAGGGGGTTGTCGCTACTAAAAAGTTGACCTAAAAAGTCTTCAGCTGTAAAAACGTCCATTGAGTTGGTAAATGTGTGAATACCTCTCAATCCTGATCAGAGGGTGACTCAGCGGATGAGTGGCAGATAAAAAGCGTTCACTTCTCTCGATTGTATATTAACAGCTACATCTGGAGGCACCTGGACATCGGCTACGTGCAGGGCATGTGTGATCTGCTGGCTCCACTTCTTGTCATCCTGGATGACGGTGAGTCAACACTGAATCACCTCTCTTCTCCGACATTTGGTGTATTTTTACAATTATTGATGGAACAACAGAGGACAGTTTGCCCACACACGTTCTCACTCCTGCTTCTTCTCTCTGTTTCCTGCTTTCAGAGGCCATGGCCTTCAGCTGTTTCACTGAGCTCATGAAGAGAATGAATCAAAACTTCCCCCACGGAGGAGCTATGGATACCCACTTTGCCAACATGCGCTCTCTTATTCAGGTGACCTTTCAAATCCAACAGGTATTAATAAATGCATTCATTACCAACAAACGTCACACTTTTTTACACCTTTCCTTTGCATTTTCTGATCCCCTCTCTGCGTAGATCCTGGATTCTGAGATGTTTGAGCTAATGCACCAGAACGGAGACTATACCCACTTCTACTTCTGCTACCGCTGGTTTCTCCTTGACTTCAAGCGAGGTAAAGTGGTGTGAAAGGGTTTGAGCCAATTAGAGGAGAGAGAAATGCCCTCCTCTTTAAGCCCTGTTGCTGGATAAAAGGCCAAACACCTCTGCAGCTTGCTAACAAGACATTTAGTTATCTAGCCTTGGAAAGTATTTGGTAGTCAGCCATATGTTTGGGAAGCCGTTCCTGGGAGTTGCTTATGAAATAATTGCTGTGTGTTGCAGCGGCAGGCTTTATAAAAAAAAAGGACTTTTTGTCACCTGGCTATCTGAGTAAACCTTTCCTCTCACACCTGCTTCCACTCCTATCTTTCTCCACTGATAACGCCACTTCCTGCAAACTCCCATCGGAGCCTTCAAATACAAAATGTGGTCCGACTCTCGTCTCTTTTTGTGATTTGTCTTCCAGAACTGGTGTACGATGACGTGTTTGCAGTGTGGGAAACTATCTGGGCCGCCAAGTATGCCTCTTCTAGCCACTTTGTGCTTTTCATTGCCCTGGCGCTGGTGGAGATCTACAGGGACATCATCCTGGAGAACAACATGGACTTCACTGAAATCATTAAGTTCTTCAATGGTAAAATATGGCTCTTTACAGCTGAGATGGTTGACAAACAATCACTACCAAAACAGTTTTATAATTTGGTCCTTGGCTTTGAAGCAGCTCTGTGAAGGCTTAGTTAATAACCTAAGGGATGTCATTGAGGTTGTAAATAAAAAATTATATAGTAAATCCTCCAATGGAACCTTGTAGCAGGGAATTTGAAAATGATTATTTACCATTTGGCCCTTGTGCAACTAATATATTTTTAGTTGCATTATGGGAATTGTAGGAACCATCATTGTGAGAGCTAGACTCACAATAGGGACCTAAAGTCTGAATACTCAATGTCGCCATCTGCTGCACCGATGTTGTCCATTCTTTTAAAATATCTTCTCTACAAGTCCCCAGTATTATAAACCTGACACTGGACCTGAGTCCTGATTAAGATTTGTCAAATAAAGAGCTCTGATAGGTTGGTTGTTTTTACCACCAGGGAAACAGGTGAATTAAACAGCAATGTATAGGTCTGGAACCAGGCTTAAACTTAATAAAATAGCAATACTAAATAACTAGAATAATCATTTAATTGTAATCCACTGGAAACTGATGCTTCACTGTTGAGCCTATGTCACTGGTTGCTAAATATTTTTTTTTTAATGAAACCAGGATGATTTACAAACTAGCTGTGACACACCTGTTACCCAGACATTTAAGAAAATGTATTTCCATAAGTATCCTTCTTCTGGTTTTCAAACAATACATGAATTGTGTTTCTTTGTCTTTCAGAAATGGCTGAGCACCACAACACGAAGCAGATTTTGACCATGGCCAGAGACCTGGTGTGCAAGGTGCAGATTCTGATAGAGAACAAGTGATTGGGTTCTCTGTCTTCTTTCTCCTTCCAAGTAAAGTGTGAACGGCTGTAGCAGCACAAGAAGAAAACACATCTGAGAACACACACACACACACACACACACACACACACACACACACACACACACACACACACACACACACACACACACACACACACAGCCTTTACAACCACGGTATGCTGCTATGAGCCTTTTTGACTGTATCCACAATGTTGTTCTTGTTGTCAACAGCTGTATCTGTAAATTATGCTACATATTTGTCAGTATGTTCAAGTGAAAACAGATGTATTTGAAAAAGCATTTTTTTCATTTAAAAATATTTTTGTGAGAAATACCGTAAGTGTAAATCTTAATCAGAGTGCACTTAATATTTTGAGATAATTATGGTTTAAGTTCCACCTTTCAAACCAAAAACACAGAGCTGAATTCCACCAGAGAGTATATTTGTGAGATTAAAGCATTGTTATAACAGATTATGATAGATATTTTAATAGTCAAAGTCTACAAAATCAAGCCTATCAGTAAGTAACCTCCATATACCTGTCCCTTAATGAATGAAGAATGTCAGCAGACTTTTAATTTTATTTAAATCAACAACCCAAAAGTAAATGACTGGCTTTTAGTCCAACATGTTACTTATTATGTATCATTTAACTTTTAGCACCATGTCAGTGAGTTAGCTTCCAACAGTATTTTTAATGTTTTTGTTGAACTGCCTCGTCTGCCAAATATTGTCTTTATTTGTTAAGTGTGAATTGTACTGTAATGAGAGAAAAAAGTGTGTTTTTAATTATGAGGATTATATTATGTCAAAGCATAACCTAATATTGAAGTGACCTATGGATGTCTGGGCAGAGATTTATATAAAGCAACAAGCCTGATTTGTTAGCCTCTTCCGTTATTTTTTATTATCCAGTGAGCCATTTTTTTATTTTGTAAATTGTGCCGTTTACTCACCTTGATTTTTTGTCTTGTGTTGTCTGTCACCTGTTCTTTGAATGTTAGCCTCAGCTTGAATATGATCATGAATTGGGACGATATGATGAGACGATTAAATATTTAGTCACAGTTACCAAATGAAAGGTTTTGCTGTGCAACGTTAATCAGATGATTTAGTGTGAGACAGATTAGACAGAGATGAACATTTAAAGTACAGATTAAGTTGCGTGAAACGGTGTTGATGTTTTGGCAGATTTGGGTCTTGTGAAGAAAACATATATATGCTTTTACCTCCGAAATTAATACTAATATTGGTCTCAAATACCAACATTCATTGCCTAGAACATCACTCTGTTGCTCTTCGGGTGTTGTTTCATGAATATGGTGAGATGAACTGCTTTTAAAATAGGTGTTTGTTTGTGAACGCTAACTGCTGTCAGAAAACCTTTATTGTAACATTGATTAAGTAAATCATTATTTATTTGTTTTCTCATTCAGATGCTGCTTTGTTGTTAAAGCTGATATTTTTATTTTGTGGCCAGTTCTAAATGTGTATTGAAAAACAATCAAATTCTATACTAAGAGTTGTACTATATATATATAGTATAGTATATATATATATATATATATATATATATATATATATATATATATATTAAATGGTATATGTTCTTATAATAAAACAATAAAAATGGAATCATAACTATTTTTCCAAAACATCTTGTGTGTTTTATTCGACCTATAGGGGAACATTGGCTGAAGTGCTTAAGGCAGCTCATGGCTAAAAAAAAATCAAAACAGACATTGGCTGGACCCTCAGATCAAAAACATACAGTATAAGAAACATACACTCTCGCCGGGTCTAGTTTAATGTGTGTCTTTGTTAATTTATATGATAGCAACAAGTCAAAAGTAGTCCCCTGCAGTACTCATATAGAACAAATTCATTGCAAAAGATGCAACCTATTCCCCACTTTATCTCACCTCAATTCTCCTAAACAAATATATACCACAGAAAAACAAAGCGAAATGAATATACTTACATGTTAATACAGTATGTAAAGTTTGTTATTGCTCTTATATATTTGTTCTTAAATACATTCAATATAAAAAACACTTTGGCTCAGTTGAAACGATTAAACATCATAAACCGGGGAGGTGGAGTTGCATCAATACGCGCATGATCTATTATCAGTTATTATAATACTTGCTGAGGGGAACCCTGCTGCTTAAATAATGACCGGGCTGGAAATGATTCTAAGTATGCCTGTGTGCTGTGGATCAGAAATTAAAAATCTTCCGCCCGAATAGGGACTTGAACCCTAGACCCTCAGATTAAAAGTCTGATGCTCTACCGACTGAGCTATCCGGGCGCTCAGGAGTCTAGAAATGACAAACTCGTATATAAATGTGTTAATATACAAATATTTGTCGCTAAGCGTTGTCTGTTATCAGAGTTATATCTCCATTTAATTATTACTTAACATTTCAAATGATAAACTGTAATGTAAATTATTAATATGACGTTTTTACAATAGTACGGATGTGTCAACAACGACAACTCATATCTGGCTATGAAGCGTCGGTTTATAAATCTATCGATATATATTTCTGATGTGTTGTACTTTACACGAGTCACTGTTAAAGGTGAAATGAATATAACAACATTATTTAACATTTAGGACGCCAGCACTTTATTGCAGTCTGTTTTTGTTTGGGCTATATAATCCAAAAGAAAGAAGGAAGTGGAAGTACCCTCTCGCTTCCCCTAGTCCCACAACATCCCGTGAGCTAACGTTAGCCACAGCAGGTCGTTAGCTACATGTGCTAGTTTAGACCTCAGTACTGACCTTCCTGTTTAGTTATTTATTACTCAAAAAATGTGACAACTTTGATATACTTCTCGGGCATATCTCACTACCTTATTATTCGGAACATGTCGGTGGTAAGTCTCGCTGTGAAACGCTCCTGTCGTGGCGTGTCACTTAAATCATGTAACCTGTTAGCTAACGATGGATACTCAATAACAAACGAGGAGATCTTCCACAGAAGAAGGAAAATCTTCCTGCAGAGCCACAACACACATTTAACGCGACTGTTGAGCTCTCGACCACTTAACTCCAGGGTAAAATGAAATGTCAATGATTTTTGATTTAACTTGCAGTCTGTGCAATCAGCACCCAATGCAAAACAAAGACTTTGCAGCTTTAAAAGTACTATTTTATCTGTTGTATTGTGTTGCACTGTTGGAGGAGCCTGTGACCTAAGATTTTCATTCTCATAACTACACTGTAGCTATGCACACATGACAATAAAAGACTTGAAACTGTAACCTGGGTGTCTCTTCTAGGTACCAGAGGCTGCAACATGGGAACCAGTACCAGAGGACCAACTTCCCCCGGTAGGATCCTCGTGTCTAGTTGAAAAATATACATTACTAGCATAAAGACATGCTGTGTGAACTAATGCTCTGAAATTCATGTTAGATTGTAGGTATTTAGTTAAAAGCGTCTTAAAAAATTGTTATTCTCAAATATATTCGATGAGGGACTAAATCCCCAGTTCTTGTTGCAGACAACACGGTATAAAAAGGTGTATCTGTTATTATCATGAGGCTTAAGAAAGGTTTGAAATATCAAATGGATTTCACCGGTTGATATCTCCACAATTATCTTTTGTTAAAGAATGAAATTTCCTTTTTTTGAAGGGAGGTGGTATATTTTGAGTAGTGCTTCAATAATGAGTAAATTGACAAAAAATAATCTACTACTTAGTATTTTCTGTAGCAGACAAACAAATACAAATGCTGTTTTTTAAGCCTCTGAATTATGTAGATTGCTTACTTTTCTCTGTTTGATATTAAATAATAAAATATGTTAATATTAAACTGCGCATCTTTTGTTTTGGTACTGACAAAACCAGACATTTAAAGACACCAATTTAGGCTTTAAAAAACTGGGATAGACATATTTTCTTATTATCTTACATTTTACAGAGAAAGGAATAAATCCACAAGATAATAATTAGATTAATTGATTATGAAAATAAAATGTAGGTGTGGCTTTAGTTTTGAAGGACAAAATCTCACAATATTGTCAAAATTAAAAAACTTCAGAGATTACCAAAGGTAGAGTTATTGGGCATGAGTCATGGCAGTGTGTGCTGATTAGAAATTATGAATGGAGGCAATTACTTTATTCAATGGTTACTAACAGTTAAAGACATTCTTAAAAGATTGTCGAAAGAATGTGTCATGCATACATTTCTTACGCAACAGACTTTTAATTGACAGCCTGTGCATATCCCTGCCGACCTGGTGGACCAACTGGAGCGACTGGCGTTGGTGGATTTCCGCACCAAACAGGGACTCGCCTGTTTGGAGGAAGCCATCAGATTTGCAGATCAGCTTCATGCTGTTGACACTTCAGGGGTGGAACCAATGGATTCAGTTCTGGAGGACAGGTATGGTTCAACAATTTATGAAAACAGTGTATTTGTATGTTGGCCTCCTCATCCCAGCTATATTAAATCAGCCCCAACTGTAGCACAGTTTTAAACTGAGCCTATTGCATGAATATTGTTTCATCCATTCAGGTCATTAAACCTTAGGGAGGATGCAGTGACGGAAGGGGACTGTGCTGAAGAACTGCTTCAGCTCTCCAAACACACTGTTGAAGAATATTTTGTGGCACCACCAGGTGAGAAAAAAACCTGAATACATGTATTTTTAAACATTAGAGCGGATTGAATCATTGGTTTTAAATAATTAAGAGTATATGGGAATGAAATTGAACCAGGCGTCATTGGTTGCTCTACACTTGCCTGCACTATATTCTCTTCCCATACATTTGTACTACTGGCTTCTCTATGGCTGAATAGCTATTCAGAGTTTTTGTTTAGTTATTCTCTATATGCTCTGTATAATAATTTAAACTAAAGGATGATGTATCAGTTTCATCCTGTTTCATTGTGACTGTA